GTGGTGCTTCTGCCTAGAGCACCATTTTGCCGGAACCCCTCACTTCAGTTTTTGTGGCACAACTTAAACTCACACTTATCTCGTGAGGTGAAGGGAGGGAACTCCTCTGGTGAGGATGTCAATGGATGTATTATTTCAGGGGCAAGAAATGACCAGTCTAGACATATAATGCCTTGGATTTAGGACATTACTAATCAAGGTATTCTTATTGTCAAAACTCATTCAAATGAAGTACCATAAAAACAACTGAAATGTATAAAAATAAGCAGGGGATTTATTGGCTAATAGACTTCAGAAGGCCTGACGTGGTGTCAGGTGAGACTGGATTCAGAGATTCAAACAATGTCATTGAGGTTTTGTCTCTCTCAGCTCAGCTTGGGAATCAATGGTAGAGAGAGGTGGGACAGAGAACCACGTCTTCTAGGCTTGAGACTTCATAATTATTTCACTTTTTAAACTCTGTGAAAGTATTCAAGAGGAAGTTTTGAAGTCTCAAATGTTGCTGAGAAGTTGAGTAAGATGAGGACTGAAAATTGATTATTAAATTTACAAGAGATAGGTTTTGTTTATGTTGATTTGCTGCAGTGATGGAGGTAAAAATCTGGTTTGCATAGACAGGAGAGAACAGGAGATGGGGAAATGGAGGGGATATACAACCTTTCCAGGAGTTTTGCAGTAAAGAAGAGCAGAAAAAGCAGATAGTAGCTAGAGGGGATGTGGAATCTTGGGCTTCTTTCTTTCCTTCCTATAAAATATTAAATAGCATATTTATTTATGAGAATGATCCAGTAGAGATGAAGACATTAATGATGCAGAAGAGAGAGAGGATACCTACAGTAGCAAAATCCCTTGACCAGTTGAGAGCGGCTGGGTCCATTGCAGAAGGGCAAGCATTGACCTTAGATATGTATAGGGATAGTTCATCCCTTGTAATAGGAGGGATACAGAATATGTGAGCAAAGATGAAGGAAGGCTGGTGATGATTTGGTGGTGGGAGGATATATAAGGATATCAGTTAGGCTGCTATAACAGAAAGACTAAATTAACAGTGATCTAACAAGAGAGAAGAATATTCCTCCTTTAAGAAAATGTTCAGGTAGGCAGTTTAGGTAGGCTGATATAGTAGCTATAATCAATCATCCAGACGCCATCTATCTTCTTGCTGTGCGAATATGAACGTGTAGCTTGCATCTCACAGTTTAAAGGTGGCTGTTTCAGCTCTTTGCTATTATGTTTGAATACTAGCCAAAAGAAAGGAGAGATGTGGAAGGGAAGACACGTGTCTTCTCTTTAAAGGGCGCAACCTGGAAATTATCCCTATTTTTCCTGATAATATCTCATTGTCCAGAACGTAATCCAATGATCACCCCTAGCTGCAGAGGAGTCTGGGAAATGTAGTGTTTGGCTGGGTGGCCATGTGTCCGGCTAAAAATTCTATTCTTACTGTACAAGAAGTGGAGAATGGCTATTGAGGAACTGCCAGAAACCTCTTCCACCAGGGATACAGTAGTCGTTTTCTGATTGCTTCTAATTTCTCAATGAAGAGGTGATTTTATCAGCTGAGAAAAAGGATGGATGTGGTTTTGGGGGTTTGAGTAGAGATGAGAAGGAGCAAAATAGTTATTTTGGAGAATGAATTCAGTAGGGAACTGTAGTAAGTCCAGAGGACTACTTGAGTTTTGTGGTCGTATATTTAGAGTGAGACCAGTCAGCTCCCAACACTGACAGCCCAGTTATTCACACCTCCTTGAAGCTTTGCATATTCAGAGGAGCCTGTTTGAAGAACCTCTGATATATGGTATGTTTGTGACCTGGTGCATATTTCACTGGACCAGAGAGTTCTTAATAAGTAAACTCAGTTGGCTAAGAAAAATTTGTCCTTGGCTCAGCAAATGGCATGTTTGTTTTCCTCATTTCCCAATCTGTAAATAAGCAGCTTCTGAAAGGGCTTAGTGATGACGTCCGTCTCCAGCAGCTGTCAGCGCTTCTCCATCAAACTCCATGATGTGGACTGAAGTAGGCATTGGAGATGCCACTTTTGTGTGCACACAGATGGCCACTTCTCTATTAACTTAAGATTTTCCATTATTTTCTCAGGACAGATAGCCAAAGTGGAGCCCTTGGGGAGCTCCTTCATTTTTCCTGCCACGAAGAACTGGCGATTCAGTAGTCACAGGGTTTGTAATAAATAACACATATTGATTTCTCTGTTCTGCAATGATTTTGAATCCTTTCTTCTCAGAACCCTGACACCTGACACCAAGAGGCAGTGTTAGAAAATAATTTGCATAGTGGCACAGACTCCCCCCCACAGGTGTGGGTATAAATCCAGGCAGGATGGGGCAGATCTTGAGGAAAGAGATCTAGTTTCTGAGCTTTCATCCAAAGACATCTTCTCAAGGAGGTGAACCCAGATCCTAAACATTGGCAGCAGGGAGCAACCATGGAGAAGCTGTGGTGGTGTTTCCTGGTCTTGACCAGCCTCTCTAATGTTTCTGGCCAGACAGGTAGGGGACACCCCAGGCTATGCCTGAGATTTGATATGGGGGCAGTGATGGGAACCAAGATTGTACAAAGTGAAGTCAGAGGAACGTTTAACGTGGGTGTGTGTGTATGTGTGTGCGTGTGCATGTGTGTGTAACTGGAGAAGGGACAAGTCTATTTCTCAATCCCAAACACTGTATTTATATTTTTTCTGTCTCACAGACATGCATAAGAAGGCCTTTGTGTTCCCCAAAGAGTCGGCCAGTTCCTATGTGTCTCTGAAAGCACAGTTGAAGAAGCCACTGAGAGCCTTTACCATTTGCTTGCATGTCTACTCTGAACTGAATCCGACCCGTGGCTATGGCATCTTCTCTTATGCCATTAAAAGTGAAGCTAATGAGATCCTTATATTTTGGTCTAAGGGTGGTGGAGGTTATATTTTTGCAGTGGGTGGGACTGAGCTATTATTCAGTGTTCCAGAAACCACTGCTGCTCCAGCACACATCTGTGCAAGCTGGGAGTCAGCCTCAGGGATTGCTGAGTTCTGGGTGGATGGCAAGCCCAAGGTGAGGAAGAGTCTGAGGAAGGGATACACTGTGAAATCAGAGGCAGTTATCATCCTGGGGCAGGATCAGGATTCCTTCGGTGGAGACTTTGATATAAACCAGTCTTTGGTGGGAGACATTGGAAATGTGAACATGTGGGACTTTGTATTGTCACCAGAAGAGATTAATACTGTCTATTTAGATGGGACCTTTAATCCTAACATCCTGGACTGGCGGGAGCTGAAATATGACATCCATGGTGAAGTGTTCATCAAGCCCCAGCTATGGTCCTGAGACCCTGCCGTGGGTCCTGAAGGTGCCTCTTCCTGGCATTTATGCCTGGCAGGCTCCATGTCTCTAGCTCTGGAGCTTCCCTCCCCCTCCATACACACTGCATGTCCCTGGGTGGTGCGAACAGTTGGCAGTCTCCTACTAGCCTAAAGGTTGGCAGTTCAAACCCACCTAGTAGTGCCATGGAAGAAAGGCCTGATGATCTGCTTTCTTAAAGATTACAGCCAAGAAAACCCTATGGAGCAGTTCTACTCTGTAACTCAAGGAGGCACCATGAGTCAGGATCCACTCAATGGCAACTTTTTTTTTTTTTTTTAATACACAATGCAGGCCTGCTCTGTGCATATAGCCCTTTGCTTCCCTGTCTTGCCTTCCTCAGCAACAGAGAATGGAAGTAAGCTTGAGGGCTTGCGAGCTACATTGTGAAGTTTCTTTCTCAAAAAAAAAACAGAACAGAAAAACCAAACCCATTGTGGTTGAGTCGATTCCAATTCATAGTGACCCTATAGGACAAAGTAGAACTGCCTCATAGGGTTTTCAAAGTTGCAATCTTTATGGGAGCATATTGCCATATCTTTCTCCCATGCGAAGCTACTGGTGGGTTTGAACTGCCGACCTTTCATTAGCAGCTGAATGCTTAACCACTGTGCCACCAGGGCTCCTTTTCTTTGTCCAGAGGACTCAGAATTCTAGTGGTTTTTTTTTTTTTTTTTTTTTTTTGTTGTTGTTAATGTTGAAAGGACCTTGGAGATAATTCCTCAGTCTCACTTAACAGATGAGAACTGTGACCCAGAAAGCAGAAGTGATTTTTTAAAAAAGTCACAGGGCTAGTCATTTTGGGAGTGCTGGTCTTCTAATTCCCTACCCAGGACTCCCCTAGAAAGTGGGATGGACGTGCCCACACTCAAAAGGCTTTTCCATCTCAAAGTTAGGACATTGACCCAGATCTTCTGAAAAGAAAACCCAGCAATACTGTGTAGCTCCTTCAATTTATCAGAGTAGCCTGGAAAGGGAATAAGAATTGCCCTAGGAGAGAAGGCCCTGTCTTCTTTTTTTTTTTTCTCTTCTTCTGGATAAATGGGCCACCTAGGTATAGTTACTTTAACTGTCACTGCTGTGGACTTATGTAGCCATGGTTTTTATTTGCCTACAGTGCTTTCTTAATTTTATGGTTTTTTTTGGAAACTCTTCCCTGACTCCATGTGAACCTGGTGGGACTGCGATTTCCTCTCCCAGCCCCAAATTGCCAACATATGCAGGTTACAAGGGTGGGTGTGTGATCCAGGTTGTCCTATCAGAGCATCCCATCTCCCTGCCTGGAGGTTGTTTGGGGATGGCTATGTTATTATCAGGACCAATGATAGTCTTCCCAAAGATTGGTCTATGGACTTTGAGAGCAAGACATCTTATTTCTGCTGGAATTCCAAGCTGTGAGGGCGTGAGCCTGGGATGGCCAGCAGCCATTATATCTACCACATGGAGAGAATTGCCTGAGGAATGAAGCCAAGCTGTGACCAGCCCAGCAGAGCTAGGGGATGAACAGAGCAATGGAGCCTTGACTACACTGAGTCCCTGAACCAGATTTGTCTACAACCAGATCCAGCCCTCGACTTCCCAGAAGTCCAATAAGCCAACAAAGGGCAAATTAAGCCCTTGTTTACTTGAGTTGTTTTCTGATGCTTGTATTTAAACTTGTGATTAAATTATTTAACAACCTTTTAAATCCAAGTCCCTGTGAGTCCAGACTGACCATTACTTGTCTTTCAGTAATGTATCCATGGCACTCTCACCTTCCCTAGAGCTTACTGCCTTGATTCCATCTGACAACACAACCTCTCTCTTGCGATAGCTGTGGTGGTTTTAATACTCTTACCCTATCATCACTCCAATTTGATGGGGAAAAAAATTAAAAAAGGAAAGCAAAAACAAAACAAACTACCACCACCACCAACAAAAAACTAAAGATCACTGGAATTCAAGGATCTGCTGTCAGGTTCAATGACTAGAATGCACTTGTCCCAGGCAGCCTGGGTCCTTTGTAGAAAAGGACTCCTCAAAGAGGGTGGCTGCTGGTTTCCTCCAGAAGTATCCTTCACCAGGGCCTTTCAGTATTGAGGTGAGCAACTGAAGTTACTCCACAGAAGCCACAGCCCAGTATGAAATATAGAGCTATCTATAAATCAAATAATTACTTTAGGGAAGTCGTATGGTAGACTAATTAAACATAGAGTTTCTGGCCTACGTTCAAATCCTGGCTTTACAACATACTAGATGTGTGATCTTGGGTAATGTAACCTTTTTATGTCTGTGTTCTTAATGAGAAAGAACACCCTAAAATTAAACTCTTCTGTGCCTTTGATATGACTAAAAGAAGGTTGTCTCTGGGCCTGAATTTAAATTCCATCTTGAAAAACCTGCTCTACTCTAAGAAGTTAACCTTTATATAGACTTAATCTGGTATCTAAGGAAATGTTTGTCTCTGTAACCAAGTTAAGGTATCTAAGGAAATGTTTGTCTTTGTAACTGAATTAAAAAAAAAAAATGTTATCAGTATGTTCCCAGAGACACCACATAGTACCCAATCAACTAAACCCACATCTAGCCTTTGAACAAATCACAGAAGGATCCCTGCTTCGAGATGCCCCGCCCCACTCCCCTCTGAATCACTGAGCACCAGTCAGAAATTTTGTCCTTCTAGTTCCTGATTTAAGCATATAGATACGTCTTTGTAACCTGTCCACTTCGGAGCATTTGATTTCACTCTGAGATCTAACATATCCCCAGTATAAACTGCTTCAAGCCTTCAATAAATGTCTTCGCTTTTAATTTTAACAGAGTAAGAGTTTTTACTCTTTAACATTACCTATAAAGTGTGTGTGGGGGAAATAATTGTAATTAGCTCAAAGCGTTGTTGTAAGAATCAAATAAGATCATGCATGTAAAGTACTCAGTACAGTGCCTGACACATAGAATACTCTCGTAACAATTATCTGATATTATTATTTAGGTTGTTTTTTATTATATCCCCAAAGGAGCCCTGGTGGGACAGTGGTTAAAGAAATCGACTGCTAACTGAAAGTTCTGTGGTTTGAAACCACCGGTGGCTCCTCAGGAGAAAGATGTGGCGGTCTGCTTCCGTAGAGACTTGCAGCCTTGGAAACCCTGTGGGGTCGCTGTGAGGCTGAATTGACTCTACGGCAGTGGGTTTAAATGTAGGTTCATTATATACCATGAAAGTACAGTTCAGTGTAATTAGTCCAGGTTGGCAGCAGTTGAGGGGTTTGATTTGTTAAGAATTAAGTTCAGAATATTAGGAAGGTGAGCAGCAAATCTTTGAAGCAATTATCTATAAATATTGATTCCCCTAATTGACTTTTGATAACCATTTGGAAGCACAGAAGTTAAAGAGACATTGTGGAGCAAAAATGTTGAGTGCAGATGTTCTTTCTTGTCCAATTAGGACAGATCCATATACCCTGGTATTGAGCTAAGCAGAAGACAGAATTGACACTCTTCTTCCATAAAGAATCCAGTCGGGAGATATGTCTTAATTATAGAAGACCATTCCATTGGGATGTGGGCTGAGCTAATATTTTCCTCAGAATTCAATTACTGGTACCTTACTACACATAGTTTAGTGAGCAGCCTCTGGCCCTCATAATTACAGCCAGGAAAATTTTTACAGCTGGTATTTGCAGTCAGTGAACATTAAAAAAATCTTAATAAAGCATTCCTACAATGTATAAATTTAATCAACTTAGCTTACTGTTGAATACTTCAATGTAATCATGTTAAAAAATGTATCCCTAGGTAACTGGTTACTAGCGAATTGTTATATTATGTAGAGTTGTTAGATATAATCTAATTAAACGTTAGATGACATCTGCCAAGGAGGATGCTTTGTTTTTGGTGAGTTGATACTAAGCAATTATTTTTCACAGTAAATGGAAAGTAAGGTCAACTGTCCATGGAAGCCACTTTGAGCTGATATTAATAAAGCCATGTCATCAACACTGGTTTTCCCTTATAGTAGTGAACATGCCTCCAGTTCAGATTCCAATGCCTTAGAATCAAGGCATTAAGGCACAAGTTACAAAGACAGAGGGCCAAATGGTATACAAAGCCTGCAATAAAAACTGTAGCATGGAGCTTCCTTGAGAAAAATGAAGTCAGCTATACAAAGGGCCTGTGCGAAATAGACAATATGCATTTCTTTCTTTCAAAGAGGCTGAGAAGAATGGGTTTTTATATTAATGAAATGAAGCTTAGGTGCAGCAGGGGCAATAACTCAGTGCTGGAAGAGATCCTGTAGTGCCTTTACAGGCCAAATAAGAGGGGATAAACCAAGAGCATAGATCAGAGATTGCAAATTACAGTAGTAGGGAGATGCTGGAGGCTGCTACCTGATAAGATTCCCTTTCTTTGGGACTGAAAGTAACTATGTTGGTACAAGAGTCTGGGCCAGACCTGTCCCAGACATGAGCACCTTAGCATGGATGCAACATGATGAACTACAGATCAGGGATCGAAAATCTCCCTGTGTCAGGCAGAAATACTGGCTCATTGGTCATGGGGACAAGTCTTATGTGCTGTGCAGTAAGAGGTCCTCAAGAAAACATAGCTAAGATTGAGCTGTACAGAGTCCAGATATGTGGACACGGACCCATGTCTGTGGTGAGACCTGGCCCATCCAGGGCCGTGAAGAGAGACTACAGGCTGCTTCAGAAGTGGGGCTGGACTTGATGGAAATGGATTTGGAGTCCCAGTTGACAAAACAAATAGAATCTTACTTTTATGATTTTTCCCCCATGCTTTTTGCAGTCCCCAAGTTTGATGTGTTCTAGGGGGGCAAGGATTGACAGAAAAAGCACATGACTACAGATTATTTAAAAACAACAACAATAACAACAAACACAGCCAAAACATCCAAATGGTTCCAACGTTTAGATTTCTGATCCTTAGAATACCAGGGAGAGCAGAGAAGTGATGCTTTGATTTCTAAGCAGCTTTATCCTAAGATAACTACCTTCTGGTCTCAGATGGGTTGGCAAAACTTGCCTGAATTCTTTTCCTTCAGTACCCTACCTCTGTCTCATCTATGCATTTTTTTCATTTCTTCTGTACCAGAAAGAGAGTAAGCGGGCATGCTAACCTTCTCCTTCAGAAAATGCAGACTCTTAGCTCAAATTTCCCAGATTGTCTGGTCCAATGATTCTTAAACTGTGGTCTGCTGATTACAGGCATCATACTCACCTGGGTAGGGGTTAAAAGTATAGATACATTGACTCCACCCCAGATCTACCAAGCCTGGGTCCCAATAAGCTTGAAGGCAGGTAGTCATCTTCAGAAAGATTTAGCACATTTTGCCCCAGGTTATCCCCTTGGCCTACCTCTGGTGCATTCCCTGAGAACTCAGTGCTATTGCATCCACCCCATGTCTTTTCATAAACACAGATAAGTGAGCTCACTAGGTCTCCCCATCACTACTCCCAGGATGATAACCGCTTAACCACACAAGGGCAGATCATACACACTATTGAACATCATCAACATCTTTATGACTAACCAGACTTAAGAAACAATTTAGAAAACTCGTCCTTACAATTTTGTTTCTCTAAAACCACTCTTGATACCAAATGTCTTAAGCTGGGTTCTCTAGAGAAGCAAAACCAGTAAAGCGTATAAATATGTATATATAGAGAGATTTGTATCAAGGAAATGGCTCATGCAGTTGTAGAGGCTGAAACATCCCAAGTCCATGGGTCAGGATAGAGGCTTCTCCTGATTCACGTAGCCGCAGGGGTTGGTGAATCCGAGATTGGCAGGTCAGAGAGCAGGGCTCTTGCTCACAGGCTGCAAAGACTGATGAATCCCAAGATTGGCAGGCAAGACTGTAGGTAAGATGCTAGCTCAAGTCCCAAAAACCAGAGGCCAGACAAACAAGAGCCAGCTGCAGGATCCAGTGCAAGAAAAAAGCCCCCAAGCCTTGCCAGAGTGTTTGCTTATATTCGATGCAGGCCACATGCCCAAAGAAACTCCGTTTCAACTGATTGGCTACTCACAGCATATCCCATCATGGGAGTGACCACATACCACATCTCAACAGGGAAGTGATCACAACATTATATGACTGCCAAAACACTAAGAATCATGGCCCAGCCAAGTTGACACACAATCTTAACCATCACAAATTCATACACTTATGAAGCTCTTGCCATATTCTAGGTAATGTTCTAAGTGCTTTACATATATTTACTTGTTTGCTGCACATGGAAACCCTATGAGGTATTATTATAACTCTCATTTTACAAGTTAGGAAACTGAGGCATGGAGAGGTTAAGCAACTTTCCCAGGGTTTGGACTCGAAGCTAGGCAGTCTGGCTAAAAGTCCTGTGCTAACAATCACTCTGTTCTACTGCCACATACAAGAAATATTTGCATTCATACCCCTAGTGGAGGAGGGAGGGGATGGGAATATGTGTGTTTTTTCTCATGGGGCAGCCATTCCAGGAAGCACTGGAAATTTCCTGACTTTTCATTTGGTTATTATGTGTTTAGGAGAATGGCTTGCACATAAAAATTCTACTCAGCCTCAGCTTCAACACAACATTGAGCAGACTATGCCTGTGTCACTTTTGTCAAAGTTCTCCAGTGACCTGGAAACTCTCTCCTCTTCCACTCACATAGATGTAATTTCATATCATAGAAAGCATTCACCAAAGGCGTAGAATCATTTGAGGAGTTCTCTAGGCTCAACTTGGGAAGCTTTCTAAAAATCCAGTTTTCCAGATCAATTACACCAGATTCTCTGGCGATGTGACCCAGGCATCAACATTTTTAAAGCTCCTTAGATGATTACAATGTGAAGCCAAGTCTCCACAGCGGAGACTGGGGAACCACCATTCTAGGCTGACTGATAGATTTGAAAAGACGGCAGAGTCGCAGCTGCTGTCTCTGACTGGTTGTGTGGTTGTTTCTGACCGTCGTGTCCTTTGCTCCCTTCTTTTCTTAAGTGATAGTGGTTTCAGTTTGAACTGGGGGAGCACACCACACCCCTGAGTAAGCACTGGAGTCTAGAGTTGTAGCTGCCCTAGGATTAAGTAAAGAGGCAGCCCCGGACTGGCATGTCCTTATTTATTCAGAAAAGCCACACAGTGATAACATTCTGCTTGTCTTAGAATGCTTTTTTCTTTCCCCTCCAATTGATAATTTGGATCTCTGCAATTTGGGCTGCTTGTCTGATCTACCAGGGCGGTAAATCTGGAAGAAACCAAAGTGCCACTAGGTCTGGAAAAACCGAGATCCTTCAGAAGTGTTTTTATTGGAACATCACAAGTTACATGAAGAGGGGCGGAGAGGCCTCCCACGCAAACATTCCCTTTTTTTTTTTGTTTGATTTTTTAAAAAATTGTGCTTTAAGTGAAAGTTTACAATTCAAGTCAGTTTCTCATATAAAAATTTATACATACATTGTTATGTGACCCTAGTTGCTCTCCCTATACTGTTACAGCACATTGCTTCTTTCCACCCTGGATTTCCCATGTCCATTCAACCAGCTCCTGACCCTCTCTGCCTTCTCATCTCACCTCTGGACAGAAGCTGCCCATTTAGTCTCCTGTATCTATTTGAACTAAGAAGCACACTCTTCACGAGTATCATTTTATGTACGATGGTCCAGTCTAATCTTTGTCTGAAGAGTTGGCTTCAGGAATGGTTTTAGTTCTGGGTTAACAGAGAGTTCAGGGGCCTTGTCTTCTGGGGTCCCTCCAGTCTCAGTCAAACCATTAAGTCTGGTCTTTTTACTAGAATTTGAGTTCTGTACCTCACTTTTCTCCTGCTCAATCAGGGACTCTCTGTTGCCACACAAGCATTTCTGAGAAAAGGGTCAAGGTTGCAGTGGCAAGCTTTCCTGATCAAGTTCACCTAGTGCTCTGTCGTGTGATATGAGTGCTTACAGAGTTGTGTTGGCAGACTGCTAGAACCAGGGGCGGGTTGTGAAATAGTTCCCAGGGAAGTCCACCTTTCTCTCTGTCAATTTTAAGCCTTGTTTAGAATGCTCATTTTAGAAGCAGTTCTTATAATGTGGTGGGCTCCATGGAATCAATAAAATTTCCAAAGAGTCCACCCATCATATTGGTAGTTACATTATTTTGACTTATCTCATAAACCCAAATGCTAATGAAAAGATGATTTGGATAATGGGAACACCTTCTTCTTCCTTTGTCCCAATCTTTCTTTTTCACCTATCAGAATTTTTTCTGTTCAAATTATACATATAAGATATATATATCTTTTATTAGGAAAATGGTCACAGTGAGAGGAGAAAATCCTTTGAAGCCATTACATTAAGCCAGTATTGTATTTTAAAAATCAGGTTCAAGAAGTTTGGGAAAGTGTGATTAAAAAGAAAATTTTGAAAATTCTTTACACCATTAAAAAAACAAACCTTCTCTGAAATGTACTAAAATTTCTAACAGCCCTTTCTTCTTATGTGTTTAGAATATGTTATGCACCTGTTGGTTGGTTCTTCCAGTCAACAGTGCAACAGCATCAATGATCAATTATCATTGAATATCAATGGGAAAGTTCAGGATGAGGCTATAAAGAATAAACTCAAGATTCTTTTTACATGCAATTATGTTTTAGATATTAAAAAAAGAACAAACTTCACATGTGTTTCATAGGGTCTTCAATGGCTGATTTTGCAAAAGTAGATTGCCAGACCTTTCTTCCAAGGTGCCTCTGGGTGGATTTGAACGACCAGCCTTTCTGTTAGCAGCCAAGCGCTTAGCTGTTGAGCCACCCAGGGACTCTTAATGTTTTATATAAACCAAACTCATTGCGGTAGAGTCAATTCTGACTCATAGCGATCCTACGGGACAGAGTAGAATTGTCCCATAGGGTTTCCAAGGAGTGGCTAGTGGATTGGAACTACCCACCGTTTGGTTAGCATCCTGAGCTCTTAGCCACTTTGCCACCAGGGCTCCATGTTTTATATAGGAACTTATAAATTGCAAATTACTTTTGTACCTAAGTGTATGTCTCAGGATGTCTAACTGATATTGTTCCCTGTTGGGGGCATTCTGGGAGTGAAGCCAAATGGCCATAGTCAGGCTGACTGTCCTAGTCCTAAAACGAAGCAATAGCTTTTGGAGCTTCAAGGACTACTCATTTTCATTCCTTTTGTTCTTGCTTCTTAATTACACACACACACACACACACACACACACACACACACACACATACTTCATTTTAGAAGCGATATAACCTCATTATGAAATGGTGTTGGGGGAAGAAAAAAGAAATCCTCTATAATTCCATTACCATATTAAGAACAATTATTATTTGGGGGTAATTCCTTAGAGTTTTTCCTAAACTGATTTATTTGTTTTAAAAAATAGCATATAAAAATTTTATTTTCTCTCTCACCATCATATCATAAGGACTTTTACATGTTGTAGCAAACAATTCACAAGCAACATTTAAACGGTCACCCATTCTGTTTAGTGGATGTATACAATTTACTTAAACATGCCCCAATTTTCTATTTTTCACTATTTGAAGTCATGTTAAATGGTTGTCTTTGTGAATAAAGCTTCCCCTACTTCCATATTTTGCATCATTTTCTTAGAATAGATTCCCAGGATGTGACAATCCTAATTCACTCGTCACTGCTATGCAGAGCTACGGGAGCACCAGCAGGCATGGTGGAGTCTCTAATAAATAACCCATATTGATCTCTCGTTTTATGATTTATCTTGCTTTCTTTGTCTTAGAATTTTGATTCATGGCTCTACAGGACAATTTTGGTAAATCATTTACCCATCAGCAGAGAATGCCCTGACTGCTGCACAGATAAGTTCAAGGTGGAGCAGAGGATCTCAAACATACAAGCTTGGACTCTAAGCTCCTGACACTTTCTCCAAGGGGATAATTGAAGTTCTGGCCACACGGAGAGCAAGGAGGGAACATGGAGAAGCTGTTGCTGTGTTTCCTGGCCTTCCTTAGCCTCCCCAGTGCTTTTTCAGCGATAGGTAAGATGCTGCTTTAGGTGGTAGCTGAGCTCTCATCTAAAGGTTATGACTGTGCAAAGCCAAGTTAGGGACAATGGCCAGCATTGAGGGCGGTCGTGGTCTGGGGAAGAGGTCAGTCTGAGGTTCCCAGGATATGATGGTCCTAATCCACCAATTACTGTCACATAGACCTGCTGGAGCACCAGCAGGCTCCATGGAGTCTCTAATAAATGTCCCAATCTCTCTATGTGAGTGAGGAAATACATCTTTGTGGTCTAACAAGCTTAACCACCAACCTTCCCTCTGTCTTTCCTATCTTACAGACATGAGCAAAAAGGCCTTTGTCTTCCCCAAAGAGTCAGATGATTCCTTTGTAAGGCTGATATCACAGCAAAAACAGCCACTCAAGGCCTTCACTGTGTGCCTATATGTCTATAGTGACCTGCCCCGCGGATATAGCATCTTCTCTTACAACACAAGAACACAAGACAATGAGATCCTTCTCTTCAAGGAGAAGACTGGAGAATACAGCATATCTGTGGGTGGGACTGACATATTTTTCAAGTATCCTGGTAATTCTGCACCATTGCATATGTGTATCACTTGGGAGTCGGTCTCAGGAATTGTTGAACTCTGGGTGGATGGGAAGCCCATGGTGAGAAAGAGTCTGAAGAGGGGATATAGTGTGGGATGGGAGGCAAACATTGTCCTAGGGCAGGAGCAGGATTCCTTTGGTGGAAACTTTAACAAAGAGCAGTGTTTGGTGGGAGAAATTGGAGATGTGAACATGTGGGACTTTGTATTGTCACCAGGAGAGATTCGTAGTGTCTATTCTGGTGAGAGCTTCAGTCCTAATGTTCTGACCTGGCGGGCGCTGGCATATGAGATGTATGGTGAAGTGTTCACCAAGCCACGGCTGTGGCTCTGACACCTTGCCGTGGATCCTGAAAGTGCCTCCTGGAGACTGGCACTTTTCATTTCCCTTGACTCAGGCTCTGGTGTCTTTTTGTCCCATATCCATGGCTCTTATGCCTGGGGAAACAGTATTTCCCCTCTTTCTTCTCCAGTCTGTTTTCTATCAGCATACGGTGCAGTGCAGAGAGAAGGTCTCAATCATGGGCAATTAAATCAAATTCTCTGCGGATGGGACCCAAGAATCAGTGCTTCTTAAAGCTCTCCAAGTGATTCCAATGTTCAGCCGAGGCTGAGAAGCATTGTATCTAAGCATCTGTTTAAGAATAAGTGAGTGAACTTTTTTTCTCCCAAAAGATTGCATGAGTTTAACTGTAGTCCTGCCAACACTTTCATTTCCCTTTTACTGTGTTTTATTGTATTAACTCAAAAATAAAGGAATAGAAACTTCCCAGCATTCTGCTTCTGTCTTCAGGATGTGGTCATTATGAGTTTGAATTATCTTTAATCTTTTCCATTCGAAGAGCCAAAAATCTAAAAGAAGAAATGTTTTAAGTGTTGTTTCTGTTTAATTTGTTCAATTTTCTTCTTCAACATCATCGATTTTCACTGTTAGATTTCCGTTGTTTTTCCTTCTCATTTATTATCACTCAGATTTTGTGTGTGATCAGAATGATGTAATTTAGTCTAGGTACTCAGAACAGTTTTTTAAATCTGTGTCGTTTATCCTTATATTTGAGTTTTTTCAAAACTTTCTTCCTTATTACTAATTTGTTTTGCATATCACAAGCCTTATTATTTCTAATGCTAATTAAAATTCTGCAATGCTTTTTGAGTTTCTGTAAATTCTTTCTTAGATTTAGTATGCTTTTTTTTAACTCATCTTTCATCAAGTCTCTGTTTTCTTCAATTTATTTGAGAGTTCAATGGAATTGCTGCCTAAAATTTTCTAAATTTTCCTGTGGTTAATCTTTTGAATGCTTTAAATTATTATAATTTATATATATATATTCTTTTTTTTATTGTACTTTAGATGAAGGTTTACAGAGCAAATTAGTTTCTCATTAAACAATTAATACATCTATTGTTTTGCGACATTGGATGCCCACCCCACAACATGTCAACACTCTCCCCTTCTCAACCTTGGCTTCCGTTTTACCAGCTTTCCTGTTCCCTCCTGTCTTCTTGTCCTTGCCCCGGAGCTGGCATGCCCATTTAGTCTCATTTTTTTTAATGGACCCATCTAATCTTTGGCTGGAGGGTGAACCTCAGGAGTGACTTCGGTACTGAGTTAAAACAATGTCCACGGGCCATACTCTCAGGTTTCTCCAGTCTCTGTGAGACCGGTAAGTCTCGTCTTTTTTTTTTTTTTTTGAGTTAGAATTTTGTTCAACATTTATTTCCATCTCTGTCCAGGACTCTCTATTGTGATCCCTGTCAGAGCAGTCAGTGATGATAGCCGGGCACCATCTAGTTGTGCAGACCTCAGGCTGGTGGAGGCCGTGGTAGTTGTGGTCCATTAGTCCTTTGAACTAATCTTTCCCTTGTATCTTGTTTTCTTCATCCTCCCTTGTTCCAGACGAGTTGAGACCAGTGGAGTATCTTAGAGGGCTGCTCACAAGCTTTTAAGACCCCAGACGCTACTCACCAAAGTAGGATGTAGAACATTTTCTTTATAAACTATGTTATGCCAATTGAGCTAGATGTCTCCCAAGACCATGTTCCCCACAGCCCTCAGCCCACTAATTCAGTCCCTTGTTTTTTTTTTAATATATTTTAGTACTTTTAAGTCCTACTATTTGTTCTCAAACAGTGTGAGGGGTGAATTCTATTTGAGTTGTTGTCCTGCTTTCCTCGCTATAATTAGGTTCCCTAAGAACTTAAGCGTAGTGGTTAAGTGCTGCTGCTAACCAAAAGGTCGGTAGTTCGAATCCACCAGGTGCTCCTTGGAAACTCTGTGGGGCAATTCTACCCTGCCCTATAGGGTCGCTATGAGTTGGAATCAACTCGACAGCAATAGGTTAAGAACTTAAGCGTAGCGGTTAAGTGCTGCTGCTAACCAAAAGGTCGGTAGTTCGAATCTACCAGGTGCTCCTTGGAAACTCTGTGGGGCAGTTCTACCCTGCCCTATAGGGTCGCTATGAGTTGGAATCAACTCGACAGCAATAGGTTAAGAACTTAAGCTAGCTGAATTGTGGACTTAGGTTTCTGTTAGCAGTTTCTAGTCATTCAGCCCCAGCATGGACATCCTGCAACTCCCCTTTGAAGTGGCTCCCACTCCCCCGCCCCCACCCTTCTTTCTCTCTCATTTCCTGGATACCAGCCCCTTTACCATTCTGTCTGTTCATTTCTTCAACAAATGTACCATCCTTTATGATAGTACAGGCACTAGCTTTAGATACTTGGAATAAACTGTAAAACAACAACAAAAGCACACCTCAGACAAAATCAAAGTCTAATTGCAAGTTAGGTTATGCCAAGTTTTAAAATGCTTGAGTCATTTCTACCCCAAGGCCTTTGCATTTGCTGTTCCCAGCTGGGCAGTGCACAACAACAACAAAATGCCGGAAGGAGGAGTCCCTGGGTGGGGCAAACAGTTAAGCATGCCGCTACTTGCCTGACTACTGACCTACTCAGACTGACTCAGAAGCTCCTCAGAAGAAAGGCCTGGCTATCTGCTTCCAAAAGGTCACAGTCTTGAAAATCCTATGGAGCACAGTCCTACTCTGCAACACGTGGGGTTGTTATGAATCGGAATCAACTCGACAGCAACTGGTTAGGCCTGAAAGGCTCTTTCTGCAGATCCCCCCGTGGTTGGCTTCTCATCATTCTGTCTCAATCCAACGTCCCCTCCTTGGAAAGCACCTTCCCTCAGTCATTTTCATCACCCATTATTGTTTTCTAAGCAAATATAACCTATCTGGGAGTCCTGGTGGCTCAGTGGTTAAGAGCTTGGCTACTAACCAAAAGGTCAGCAGTTTGAATCCATCAGTCGCTCCTTAGGAACCCTATGGGGCAGTTCTACTCTGTCTTATAGGGTCTCTATGAGTCAGAATCAACTCGAAAGCAACGGGTTTGGTTCTGAGTTTTTAAAATCACTATCTGAAAAAAAAATTGGTGTTTGTCTCTTTATTGTTTCCCTCCTTCACTGGACTGTAAATTCCACGAGAGCAGAGACATTATTCCCTATTGTATTCCTAGTTTTGATAATGGTATGGGCTCATAGTATATTCTTAATAAATATTTGATGAATTAATTAATTTCAGAGAAGGCAGCTACAGCTAAGAAATGCTTTGGATCCTCCTGAGAATGGGGAAATACTTAAAGAGCAGGAAGTTGTAAGACCATAATTTGGCTCACAAAATGGCCTGTTACAGATGTGTGATAACTTGTTCCTTAGAGAAGGGAGGGAATATCCAGAGATAGGGTTCACATTTGATTCAGCATTACACTACTTGTTATAAAGCATGGAGGAAAATGGAAATTAAAGTATTATAAAAAATACATGGGATAGAAAAGTAAGGGTATGTTGGCTTCAGCAGAGCTCTGCCAATTGCAAGGACGACCACTACAAATCCTGAAGTTTTTCAAAATGCCAAATGCCAGCCAGCCAAGGCCAGCCTTGCAAGGAGGTCTTTCTAACGAGAACAGTTGCAGGTCTGCTAGACCTGGTGGCGCAATGGTTAAGCACTCAGCTGCTAACTGAAAGGTGAGCAGTTCGAACCCACCAGAGGCTCTGAGGGAGAAAAGACCTGGCGATCTGCTCCCTTAAAGATTACAGCCTGGGAAACCATATGGCACAGATCTACGCTGTCCTATAGGATTGCTATGAGTCAGAATTGACTCGATGGCACACAACAGCAGCATGTGTTAAATCTAAGGTCCCTAGGTGGTAAGCACTTTGCACTCAATTTCTAATCTAAAGGTTGGTGGTTTGAACCCACCCAGCTGTGTT